TTCCAGCATTATCGATTCAATGGGAAAGTTGACACTGATTTCCATGGGGTATGAATTGTACCTGCTCGTTCTTATCCAGCAGAAGTCCACTCTTGTAAACATATTTCTTCATGCAGATAAGACTTAGTGCATACACAAATTCCGGCAATGTTGGAAGCGGTATTTCTCACATCAGATTTATGCGCCCATCACTGCTGCTTGGGGAGGCTTTTCAATGAAGTTCATCAGAGCAACGATCACTCTTCATTTTGTCCTAACATAGGTGGCAGCCTATGACCCTCCAGATCTTGCTGGACTTCCACCACCCCAGTCTTAGCCACATGACCAATGGTCGGGGATGATGGAATCCAGCATCATCTGGAGGGCTCTTGACTCCTGGTGTAACAGGTGGCAGGGCAGTAACTGGACCCACTTGGAAATTTCTTGCAATGTTGATCTGCTGTTGGAGAGTGGAGAGAGAGGAATTGCACCTGGGCTCCAGGAACCCCCATTGCACAATGTCCCTCTCGAGGGATATTTAGTAGAGGTGGTCGAGGCTGTTTCTGTCCAGCTCATATTGTTTCTGTGAGAATGCAAACACAGGAGCAAATAAATAGTCATTTTAATTGCTTGCAGGTCTCTGGTGTCAGGTTCTGGGAAGACCTTAATATAAAAAAACCTAAAAGTATTTGTTAATATCTTTCATCCTTTTTTGACTGCCTATAAGTGAAACTATTATGGTATCATTTTGATTTTGCTGTAACGTGATATAGGTCATTTTAGGTTTGCTGAATCTTCAAGTCATTGTGTCACATGCAAGTCCCAGTGAAGCAACAGGATACCTTTTAAATAAACGATTCATGTGATGTTGCAGCAGGGTTTCTTAATGACTGTGTGCATTGATATTTAGCTATCTATCTATAGAAACATACATGCATAGGCCTCGTGGGCTCTTTTGCTCGTGGATATATAAAAATGGTTAAAATTATTTTCTCAAACAATACATAGCTCAACACCTCCCAGTAGCGAGAAGCGTCTGAACATGGGGCATTTTCAGAGTGGGGAAGGGGAGTTGTAGTAGCAGTCAGAGACATAATAAGACTAGCTACATATTCATTGGATTTTCCCCTTCACAAGTTTCTTATTCTTTTATTTTTATTAGGACGCGGGTGGCGCTGTGGTCTAAACCTCTGAGCCTCTTGGGCTTGCCGATCAGAAGGTCGGCGGTTCAAATCCCCATGACGGGGTGAACTCCCGTTGCTCTGTTCCAGCTCCTGCCAACCTAGCAGTTCAAAAGCATGCGAAAAAAGTGCAAGTAGATAAATAGGTACCGCTCTGGTGGGAAGGTAAATGGCATTTCTGTGCGCTGCTCTGGTTTCGGTGTTCCATTGCACCAGAAACGGCTTAGTCATGCTGGCCACATGACCTGAAAAAAGCCTCTGCAGACAAACGCCTCCCTCGGCCTGTAAAGCAAGATGAGCGCCGCAGCCCCAGAGTCGTCTGCGACTGGACTTAACTGTCAGGGGTCCTTTCCCTTTCCCTTTACACTGCAACTGTGTATTCTAAATGTAGGGAATATAAGCTGCATTTACTATTATTTAACACAAAACTCAAAAGTCTTGCAACCTGATATTGTGAGATGCTACATTGATAAATGCCTCACCGGATCAAGTGCTGGGATTCCAGTAATGGTAGAAAGCAGGAGCCCTTTTTGACCAAGAATGGTCAAGTTTGGAATTTTGAGAAGGTGCTATGGATGCCAGTCACAAAATGGCTGCTATGGGGCAGGGCATAATGGCTGCCAAATCTAAAAGAACAGGAGAAGGAGCAGGACCACAAAATGGTAGGTGAATGCCCTTCTCAATTGGGGAAAAGGTACCTATCTCAGCCATCGCTACACTTGCTCATAGAGATAAGCTTTTCACACCTTCCTTTTGTTTGGAACCAATGGGAGGGCAAACGTCAAATCCTGGCATCCAGTTATAGTATATAAGTGGAGGGAGCTCAATGTGGGAGCCAGTGTAAACAGCAACTGTACAGGAAGATTAAAGATTTTTGAAGGGGTATTTACTAAGACCTTTCACAGGTGCTATAGGAGTTACTGGTGGTCATACTGGTGATGACCCTTGGAGTAAGAGAATGACTCTCCCTATAGCAGTCTTTGGTCCAAAACTCAGTCCTAGTGCAACAGCTATGATTCCAGCTGCTTGCTTCAGATTCCCACTCACCCCATTCCATTCCACACTGTGCCTGTTTAGCCTTGTACCCTTCCTGATAGCAGTAGTAGGGATTAGCAGAGTTTAGCACCAAGTACAGAATTGCTGTATAACTCTGCCCCACTTGCCAAATTTAGGATTCTGCTTCAGTTGCAGCATCCAAAACCTCTGAATGAGCAGCTTCAGCTACAGTTCTGTAAAACCTTTCCATTCTCAGTAAACAACCTTGCATAGAGATAATCTGTGATTTGGTGGAGAATGTTTTGATTTTTAAAACTTAGTGTACTGTATGAATTTTACAGGCCATATTCTGATAATTTAGTGACAGTAACTGAAACAAATTTAAAAAACCTCCACCAAGTGTTGTGGATAAACAGACGGAAATGCATAAACACTGTGGCTTGTGTTAAAGAGGGCCACAGATTTACATAACCTTTAAGCAGCATCTTGGGTAACAAACTCTTAATTCCAAGAGCAGCATAAAATCCAATTTTGTACTTACAAAAGAGGTGAGAACCCTTGCCTGATGGGAAAGCTTTTGGGGCATAGGGCATATTGGCATCAACCAGCAAGTTTGATAATCTGCCATTCTGGGGATGAAAAGTCAGGCTGATAGTCTCAACAGCCTTATGCAAATTAATTTTGCCTAGTCTTGCTGAAAAACAAGCAAATGAAAAGTCCTTCTGAGGTTTCCAGCTTCACCCACTTCAGGAGGCGTCTGTATAGTCTGGAATGCTTCATCTCAATAACGTAGTAGTTCAAAAGCATAAATACCATAGCTTCAGCGCTGAAGGATAACTATCCATGGTCACTGTGGCATAAAGATCTGATCAATCATCATGATGACGGGGAGGGGGAGGAATATTCCCAGCATGTACTCATGCCTATACTATGTCTTAAAGTCACATCAAGAAGGGAAACATAAAGTGGCATGCTGGGTAAGTGAAATGACTGTTTTCTTGAAGCTCCCCCCCCTCCCATCATGAGGCTCCTATGCGTGAACTGGCTACTTGGCTTTGCCCCATTTCAAATTTATTTAACACTTTTGCTAAGCGCTCACACAAAGATAATCTCAAGAATGCTTCCTGTAAACTAAACCATTGTTATTACCTGGAGATCGTTGGTTGGGAACTGAAGGTGGTCTGCCTAAGCTCAGCCCACTGGTTTCCTGCAAACTACTGGTTTCGTGGGTGAGCTCATGTTCCCTGTTAACCTCCATGCTCTTTATTGTACCTGACTGCACAGTCCCTTGGTACTTTGACATTCAGTACTTGTTCAGAGACCCAACATCAGAAAGTCACATTGCTCTGCTAGTTGGCAACCTTGGTTTTAGTGCACTGCTATACTATGGTTTAGTGTTATGCGAGAGGTAGTTTTAGGGCAGTGTGAGTGGCACTTGTCCAAAGCAAGCTTGGGGGAGGAGATAGGAGGGCTCTAGGACCTTGCCAGAGCCTCACACCTCCTTCCCAAAGCCCAGCTTAAACTGGTCCCTTGAGGGCTGGGCGTAGGGTGTGAGACAGACAGTGGAGCCAGACCAGAGTCTGGTGATGCAGTCCCTCAGAATTCTACCAGAGGGCTGGAGCCTCTCTCTGATTGGCTACCAAGACAGCTAACCAGAGGGGGGCAAAGCAGCACTTTGGGAAGGATAATAAAAGGAGCCGTTTCTGAGGGAGTGTTTGGCTAGGGCTTGATTCAGGACGGGAGATGGGCATTAGGATAGTGTTTGTCTGAGACAGTTGGTTCAAATTTGAGTTTAACATCCACTCTGAGGAGAATATCTATAGCTAGAGGAAGGAGCCTCATAGCTTAGAAGTTGAGTGTCTTGGGAGAGTTCACAGACAGGAGTCGATTGGAGGGTTGAGTTTGAGCCAGGAGAAGTAGAAGCTGTGTGGCTTACAGTCTCCCAAACCAGTTAAAAGGGGTGTGGTGACCTCCAGGGCCAGTTATACTATTTGGAAATGCCTCAGGGGTGAGATTGTTAAGAGGTTGGGTAACTGTCAAAAAGCGCCCCTCGCTCATGAACCAAGTGTTAAGCTGTGCTGTGTAAAGGAACAAGAGTGAAGTAACAGAAACCGTGTTAAGCCTTTTACTGCCTATTCTAGAAATCCGAATCTGCATTGTAAGGTTTATGAACAGTGCTTACCAAATTATCCTTTCAGTTGTTTGCTGGTGCTGGCCTAGAGAGATTTTGCATGATTTGGGGAATAATGGGAGTTAATTTGTATATGCCTTTTGGAGCTATTGCCCTGGAAAAAGTCAGTTTTTTGTAGTTTTCACATGTTTAGGGTAATGCAAATCTATAAAATTATGCTCCAGAGTAGAAAGGAAGGAAGGAAAAGAAGTTCTAATTCTAGTATAAAAAACCTATTTTTGCCCATACCATACTAAGAGCCATTCTGTTTCTTTTCATTCTTTTTTAATGAGACTGTCCACATTTGTTGGTGAAAGCTAATAGTTGCTTACCGTTCATAAATCAGAGACTGCCAGCAGCCAATGCTGAACACCATTCTCCAATCTTGCACTCTTACAGTGAAATAAAATATGGAACTTTCAGTAATATAGAGCTTATTAATTCTAGCTTTTAAAAGGTGATTTCCTATGAAAATTATCTTTAATTTTAATTGCATCTTAAATATAATGGTAGTGCTCATCTTGATTAGACAATCAGCCAAGGCAGAGGTCTTTTTTTATGTAATAAGAATTGAAAGTATATAGTACTGATTTGGGGGAAGCGGGTGGGTGGTCTGATGCATGTGCCTAAAATCAGAAGTATCATTTTGCATTCTTTCTTCCTTCTTAATACAGTGCCATTTAGAGAGGCTCCTACCTACTCAAATAGAAGACGGAGACCCCAGAGCACCTTGACAGCACCTCGTGTCTTGCTTCGGTCGAATAGTGATAACAATCTGAACGTCAACATTCCTGATTGGTCAGCCTCTTCCTTAGCTTCTTCACACCGTAGCCTTTCGCCTAACCTACTCCAACAGATGCAGAATAATCCTAATGGAACTGTGAAAACTGTTGGGAGCTACACGCCATCTTCTCGAAGCCGCTCACCGTCATTAAATAGGTTAGGAGGAGAAGATGCAAAGCGGCAGCAACACCGGCACATTAGGTGACTTTTCAATATTCCATTTTTTAAAATGTTGACTTTGTGAATATATATATATAGAGAGAGAGAGAGAGAGAGAGAGCGCATGAGCACAGTTGGTTGTGTCCTGCTCTTCCTCGCCCCCTGCTCTTCCTTGTCCTTGGTCCCTTCATTCTCCCTACCACAATCCACCACTCCAAATTAAGTTGGAAAAGAAAAGAAAAAAGGAGAGAAAAAGGAAAGAAATTGTACCGTGGTTGTTAGCAGAGACACTGCAGCGTGGTGGGGGAGATGGAACAAGGTGGTGTCAGATGTTTGCTGACAACTCCTTTCTCATGAACATTTTGCCAGATGCTTTCAAACTTCTGTTCTTTTGTCTTTTTATTTTATAAGAAAGATTATTTGGGCAGCATCCATGTGACAAGAGATGCACAGCTTCTTTGTGCTTTCTTTTTCTTACTAAGAACTGCTTATTCTTTTGCAGCCTAGTCCTGTATATAGTCATCCAGTGTGTTGATACATTTTGTTAGATGCAGCAGCTGATTTCCAGTTTTGTAAAATTACCTTTCTGGCCACTAGGATAGCTCTTAAAAATGAGATTTGCTGCTTTGGTACCATTTCCCTAAGCCTGGGCATGTACCAATTGTGCTGCATGTAGCTCCTTCAACATTACTCAGTATCCTGTGGATTCTTCCCTCAACTCACCTTATTTTTGTTTTCTGGGAAATGGTAGGAAAATGTTGAGTATTTTCAGGGTGTTTTAAAGAAGCCTGCTGGCCCGCTGCTGAATAAAGCAAAGAACACTCAAGACTTGAAAAGGCAGAGGGAGGGCTCTCTTGAGATAATAGTGGCTTTTGAGCCCCAACTATACAGGATGCTCAGAAGTGTTCTTTCCTGCCAGGGACCAAGGGATTTGTAGTTTTCTCCACCTCTCAGATTGAATCCAGTTTAAGGAGAGGCCAGAAATGCCTTGTTTCTAGTAAGCTCTCTCTGATGCTGATTACACCTGAATGCTGATTGAAATCAAACTGTGCAGGAGCAAAGGAGCATCTCAAGCCACACTGCAAAGGGAAATTATTCACATAATGTTATGGTGACTTAAACTGATTGACAGGTGGGCAGCCTCACATATCTGTCAGAGAGCCTGGTGCGGGGAGAGGAGTGGGCAATGGCAGAGGAAGCCTCTCCAGCACCCAGTGCTGAGGGGCAGGGCAAACTGCCCGGCGGTGCACGCACAGCACCCATACAGACGGCGCGCGAACGACACCCATATTGGTGGCGCTCGAGCGGTGCCCATACCAATGGCACCCAAGTGCTATCGGGCACCCTACAGCTGGGGGGGAGGCAGCAGGCCATTTTGTCACCCCCAGGGTGGTACCCGGGGCGGACCGCACGCCCCACACACCCCTTTGTATGCCTCTGGGGGGTGGGAACATTAGGATCTGGTCCATTGGCTGGATCCAGTTCCCCACATTTGCTCTAGGGCCTTGAAATTTCCCCAGCTGTTGCCATTATGATAGTTCCCTCTGCTGGTGGTGAGTTTCTACACTATGTTTGCTCTTCTGCCCAAGTCCAGAAAATACTGCCAAGGAACCGTAGGACCTGCAGATGAAAGACCAGCTGGCGCTTGAGCTGGTTTAGGAACTGAGTAAGGGAATGCTTGAGCTAAGTGAGACAGCTCTAGATAGCTAAGCAAGTGAGCTGGACATTAAGAAGAAAATACCTCATTTTGCGGACAAGGCAATCAAGAGGATGGTTAGGGGTTCAGCTGCAGGCACGTATATTTATTCATTTAATTAATAATTTAACTTCATAAAATTGACATACCACTCAAAGTGGTTTACAAAAAGAATGGAACAATAAATTAATCAGAAAACAAAAAACCAATCATTTAAAACATCTCAAAGTAATTAAAATCTACAATAAGCGAAAAACAGATTAAAGCACATGTCATTGTTTTACATATCTCGGTAGACTTGTCTAAACAAATATGTTTTTAGCAGTCACTGAAAAGAGCACAGTGAAGGCTCCTGCCTTAATAGGGTACTGTTTACCCAGGAAGAATCCAAAGGAAACTGAGGAACTTTATATTGTCACTGCCAGTTCTTCCTCTTCCTGGTCATCTGCTGGATCATTGTCTGCATCTGGCTCTTCTCTCTCCTCCATGAAGACCCTGGCAGTAGAACATTATGACAGCCAAACAGATTATCCTACAGTGACTCTGAGGCTTCCACTTTGTTCACTGCCATCTTTGCTCTTGGAGACAAAGATACTTCAAAATCTGGATCCATATAGAGAAATAGGTTTGCCTCAATGTTTGCTTCATGATTATGGGTTTGCAGCCCATAATCAGAGGCCGTCTGGATCCCCAGGCCACAGTAAACCTATCCCCACTTCCCCTTACATGCTTGTGCCATGGAGCTAATGAATATCTTTTTAGGATGTGGCATACCAGGTGTTGCACTAGCATATCACCATGAAGCATTTTTTCTGGTATGTCACAACTGCGTGTATGTTTGCATAGAATTGACAGTCAAGATAATTATTTCTACCTAAATGTGAAGTCGTAAACACAGATAGTGCATATGTTCTGCAATGAAAAGAGGATAATTTTTCATTATGTTCCAGTCTCTATCGTATATGAAGCCATTTGAAGAGAACACGTGCCATTGGGATCAGGCTTCAGAACTACATCCTTGTAAATTTGCCAAGAGCGAATGTTAAGTTGACAGCTGCTCGAGCAGGAACTATATCATGTGGCTAATTCTCTCAACAGTATGCTTCCCCCATGTCCTCGCTTAACTGCAGGGATAAAATCCAGGATCCCATTTTGAATTCACTGTCCAATTAATCCTAAATGTATCATCACTGTGCTCTGCTCTAATCAATTATTTCAGTCCAGTCGTTCTATAGCAAGCACATTTGCCATTTCACTCTGGCCCACAGGAATTCCAAGATTGTTTCATTCTGCATTTGTACCTCACCTTTCAATACTCTTTGCATTTTTGGTTGTCAGTTTTTATCGTAATCTGTGAAAGTTCGCATATGCAGACAGACATCTTCCAGGAACATTCCTTTACTTAACCACAAATTTACTTATGCAAAATATTCATTGGTTGAATGTTGTGTTTAGACACCTTACATCTTTCAATGGGAATTCTCTGTGAGTTGCATATTGAATTCATGTGAACACTTTAAACATTGCATCCTGTGTCAAGTATAATTACAGCAAAGAAACAGTGATAATTTATCAGGATGATGGGCCCAAACGTTGCTCTAAATTTGTTCAGTCTCTAGATGCATTATATAATGACTACACATAAATGCCAGTTGTTAGGCAATGTAATTAGAATATTCCAAATACTGACACCTGCTGCTTCTCAGTATGTAATTGAAGCCAGGCACTAGGAAAGTGTGTACTGGAACCCACATTTTTAATTATTATTTTAAAAAGAAACAAAGCATAATCTAGGAAGTTAGATTACCTGATAAAATATTGCACTGGCAATTACGGATAAGTAAAATTTGATAGAAATGTAAAATTTGATAGAAATGTTAAATTCAGTAGTGTTTAAAAATGTGCCATGTGTATACTTACCTAATGTTATGGTTTGAAAGTTATGATACCTTAAGCACTTTCAAATTCAGATTCTGAGACCCCTTGCTTCCTAAAGACTCACTCTCATATTCCCAATCTTTCTGTGTAACCTGGTTCAATGGGGGCAAATTGATGGTTGCATACAAATGTATGTAATGAAGCTCCAGCATTTTAGAATGAAAAGCAGGAGGCTGCAGTTTTGAGCGTAAATGTGGTGGAGATTGAGTGGATAAGGGTGCTTAGGCCTTTCCCTGGTTGTCTTTTTCCACTCAAAGTTGTTCCACATCTGTAGGCACATATCTGGAATTGCATGGAAGTTAACAGAGATTCTGTTCCTTCTCCATTCAAAGGCCACATTAAGTTGAGATATGAACAAGTTTTATGTACAGTGGTACCTTGGGATGCGAACGGGATCCGTTCCGGAGCCCCGTTTGCATCCTGAAGTGAATGCAACCTGCGTCCGTGCGTCTGCGCATGCGTGGGTCGCGTTTTGCCGCTTCCGCGCATGCGCGTGACATCATTTTGACTGTCTGCACATGCACGCGCTACAAAAACCGGAAGTAACGCGCTCCATTACTTCCGGGTCGCCGTGGAGCGCAACCCGAAAATACTTAACTTGAAGCACATTTATCCCGAGGTATGACTGTACTGTATTTACACAGTCACTTTGGACCTTCCTTCATGTGAACACAAAAAAGAAGCCTGGAAGCAGTTAACTATAGCTTCCTGTTATATCTGAAATGAGTACCTTAGTTCTTGAACTTAAACCATTCCAGGAGTCTGTTTGACTCCCAAAACATTCAAAAACCAAGGTGCGGCTTCCAATTGGCTGCAGGAGCTTCCTGCACTCAAGCGGAAGCCGCGTTGGACGTTCGGCTTCCAAAAAACTGTTATGTACTGAAGTTCTCATCCTGGGCCAGCAGGGGGATACTGTAGATAGTTATGCAAATGAAGGATCGAAAGTGACGTTCAGTGATTGGATAGTTTGTATGCAAATGAAGGATCGAAAGTGATGTTCAGTGATTGGATAGTTTTAGAAAGTTGCAACAGTTACCTTGTTCTGGAGCTCTATATAAGCAGGCTGACTGAGCTCCTCAGTTCAGTTCTGTTCCAGCTTGCAAATAAAGAGCTGCTTTGGAAGAATCGCTGTGTCGTCTGATATGTTCGCCCACAACTTAACAAAAATGTTTGCAAACCGGAACACTTACTTCCGGGTTTGCACTGTTCAGGAGCTGATTTGTTCGGGAGCCAAGCCATTCGAGTACCCAGGTACCACTGTACATTTAAAGCACCTCCCACAAAGAATACTGAGAAAAGTAGTTTGGAAATTGTAGTGCTGACAATTGTAGCTCACACTTCACCCTCCTGAGAAAACCCCCACCCCTCCCTCCCACTATATATAAGGCTCTGGTGACTTCTGTTTCAGTGTATCTGAAGAAGTGTACATGCACACGAAAGCTTATACCCAGAACAAACTTAGTTGGTGCTACTGGACGATTATTTTTTTATTTATTTCGACTGCGTCAGACCAACACGGCTACCTACCTGAACTGTAGCTCTGTGAGGGCTAAACTACAGTCACCCCTTTGGGTGTGAGTGTGGGTGTGCTTTCAATGTATGGTTTGTTTGGAAGTTTATTGATTTGGACATAATACAAATATGTGGTTAACTGTGGCTTCCTGGTTTGTTTCGCTGCTCATGCAAATGGATAACTGTTGCATGAAACTTATATATAAACTTCTTTATATCTCTGCTTATTAAGTCAAGATTTGATCATCTTAGTGTAACTTCCCAAAGTGCTTTTAATTTTTAAAAAGAAATGGCAGGGCTTCATTATACACCATTGCTTCTGATATGTAACTTGCCCTTACAATTTCCCTAAATCAGTGAAAACAGTTGAACTTCTTCCCAGTTAAATATATTTAGGATTAATGTATGCATTTAAAGCCTCTCCCACCCCCACAGCATAGAGTTGAATTAAAAAAGTCATTATGGCCAATAATGTAGCTGGTACAAATAAAATTTCAAGATGAATGAATGTTATTGTTAGTCTTCAGCTTTGCCTTTCTTCTATAACGTTGCCTCCTACTATATTTCTGACGCAGGCTTAACCATTAAGTGCTGCACCCAGCTACACCTCTCTCTTGTTCTCTCTCATTTTGTTTAACCAGTGGATTGGAAACCTGGAGTCAGTTATTGCCTTTTTTGTGTCCACAGTGAAAACAATTATTATAATTAACTGACCTTTTCCACATAGAAATGTATTTGAAGGTTAGAAAGGATTGTCTAGACTACCAGGCAGCCGGTGCTAATGGAGGTTCAGCAATCTGATAAGCTTTTCCTGATGAAATGGGAAGTAGTAGAACCATATACACCACCTTGAACGCCTTAGGGAATAGTCGGGAAATAAATGTAATAAATAAAAAAATAAAAAAGGGAAACTAACGCTGTTCATTTTGCTCTCTTTTCCAGTGCCAGTTATAACCCCAGTGCCAACAAGGATACTATATCTGCCTTGGATTATCAGGGTCCAAAACGCAAACTTTATAGTGCTGTACCTGGAAGACTATTTATTGTCGTGAAGCCATATCAACCTCAAGGAGAAGGGGAGATTCATTTGCACAAAGGGGACAGGGTGAAAGGTCAGTCTCTTCCCTTTAAATGTTCCTGAATGATCAGATCAGCTTTCCCCTTTAGCTGAAGCAAGGAGATGAACATACAGATTTGCTGATTGAGTCCCAGTTCTAAATGACAAATATTCAGTCCCAGTTTAGGCCATGCACATTTCGAGAACTGGTTTTATACTCCCTACACGTATTTGAACTGGCACCCATCAGACTAATAAGCGTGTTTCAACCCTGCCAGGTTGAGGGCTGTGCAGCAATTTGTTGGATCTAAAACACTCTAAAGCATGCCTTCAATTAAACAATGGATAGGCAATTGCAAATGTAATTGTGGGGGAGCACCTCAGTAACATATTTGAGGCTCTCATTGGGGAGGGTGACTTTCATTGATCTGCCCTTTCCCCTTATGGGTGTCTGCAGAGGAACTTAGTGAAAATCCTGTGGTAAGACAAGGTTTGGTTTAGTATGTTGTCCAAACTCTGAGTTGTGGCTAAGATCTAACCTCAGCCAAGGTTCCTCCCCCCAAAAAGCAATAACAATGATGACAACAACAACAATGTAGCTGTAAAAAAGAACATGGGGAAAAAAGCAATGTAGCTTTGAGTTCCACTCTGAGAGCTTGCCAAGCTCTCACAGACTCGCTAAACCAAAGTTTTGCTCAGCATGTCGTGCTATCCAGGCCATTGTAAAGACTTGAAGGATGGCCAGCTAATCTTAATCTCTAATAATCACAGTAGAGGCAGAAGGAAAAGACCTATATTAATAGAAGGAAGCTTGATTAAAGCTGCTTGTAAACAGATTGAACTAATAGGTTCTAGCCAAATGTAGAGAGTTTCTGAATCTATAATGGGATACACACAACATGGCAGCAAAAATGTGTGGCTGTTAAGATCCACATTTCAAAGTCTGCCTGAAAAAGTATGTGTTGAGTTACCTGGGAGTCACAGGATATCTTGGTTGCTCAGGAACAAGCCAGACAGAACAAGCTGAATTCAGCAGCAATTCAGAAACATTCTTATAATGCTAAAAGAACAGGAAAATGCAGGAAAAGCAACTACTGGTCCTAAAGAATCAAAAGCAACTATGCTCTGCCTTTTCCAGTTACATAGGGATTTCCGCTGCAATTGTATCTCCTAATTGAGTGTATTTTCAGGGAGTGCAAAGGGGGCTGCAGAGAGAGACAAGAAATGAGAATGTCCCTTTCTCATCTAAGTAAAGGAATCATTACCATGGGTTTGTGTGCTAGTATTGATGTGGTTTGATTCTGTGCACGGTTAGTCTGATTCTGATATACTATTGCGGCAGAGTTGAGGGACAGCTGAGGCTTCTTTGCTAACCTCTGAGTTCAGGGAGTAAGTTCCTACTCAAACTACCTGTGAAATTGCTGTAATGCCATGTTGGCATCGTAGCTGGAAGCAATATTTGGGGCGAGTATAGGATTTGGTGTAATGCCATTCCCTCCCCCATTTTGGCAGCAGCAGAGAAATTGGGAAATTTCTCTCATCACTACTAGGATATATCCCTGATATTCGGCCACTTTTATCTTCCTTGGACAAGATGTGTCTGGAGATAGGTGTTAGGATATGATGGAGAAAACCTAACAGATGGTTTATCTTGACCAAAGGATTGGAAAACTCATAAAAATAAAAAGAGAACTTTCAATTAGTGCTTCACTATTATAAAGTTTTATCAGAAACCCCATTAAATAGCATAAAGTGTATCTTTCATAAACATTTTGGAATAATTTGGTGGTGGTTTTTCTTCATGACCAGTAGCTAAGGGATGTATAAACTGATATAATCAAATGATATGTGGCATACCAATTATTAAATGAAAGCTGAAAGTGGGTCAAGTTCAGGTAGATTTAAAAATACATGTGAATTATTTTATTAATAGAGTATAATGTAATGTAGTTAAAAATAACGCTTAGTTTTGTCCATTAGTCATGCACACTGACATCATTTTGTGTCTACCACTCTTGATATTAAGAAAACCACAGCTAACTTTTAAAAATAAACGTGATATTTTGTTTTGGTCTCTTCCCACCCCCCACCCCCCAAAAAAGCAACATTCATGATCAAGGCTCAAAAAGTTCTATCTGGTCTATTTGTTTCAACGACTGCAGTGTCTTACCTTCAGTGAGGTTTTTTAAACCACATAACACTGGTTACAAATTAGAACCATAACACTGGTTGCAAATTAGAAATGGTAGTTTGCAAGACAAAGCTGAGGTATGCATAGTGAGCAGCTAGAATGTTTTGTCAGGTGTTCCCATAAAATATTCTTATATATTTTCTGGTCTGCTATCTTAGATACCCCTCATATAATAAGGTGAATTCAAATATACAGCAATATTTTAACTGCTTAAAAGTTAATTGTAGATAACTGAATGGCATGCTGGTCATCTGTATGCAGCCTTTCTCAACCTATGGGTCCCCAGATGTTGTTGAACTACAACTCCCATCACCCCTAGCTAGCAAGGCCAGAGCTCAGGGATGATGGGAGTTGTAGTCCAACAACATCTGGGGACCCACAGGTTGAGAACCTTACAGCGTAAGGGCTCATTCAATTTCACTTAACCCATATTTCGATCTTATATTATACTGATTAAATCCTCCAGGTCTTGAGAGCTTTTCTGGTTGTTCCAATCTTACCCGCTGAACTGAAGCTTGGTTAAGCAACAGCTCTTTGGATTTAGATTGGATTTTTGCTAGGCACAGCCACAGAACGAGAAAACCTCTTGGCCCTGGGGGAATTAATTGGTACATAATACTAGGTCAAGCATAAGTGTGGACGGACCCCAACTACTTGGTTAAAACCACTGTTACCAAGTGGATTTAGTGATGTCAGTGAATTTTGGAATCAGCTTCATAAACCAGTTTATTTACATTTGGAATCAAACACTTTTTGAATTTTGGCTCAATCTGTTCCAAACTTTTTCCATCTTCTTCCTTTCCACCAAAACTTGCTTTCTATGGTAGCAACCAGCTTTAAAGCCTCAACTTAATACAGCTTCATTCACCATGCATCTGAAAAATGAGAACATAATTAGGATTGTCATGTATGTAAATGTTAAAAATTATAATGGGACTCTGTTCTGAAAATTCCATAAAGTGAGTGTTTCTTAACTGTTAATGGGGTTTATTTAAGTGAATCAGAAATCTTACTCTTAAAATACCATATTGGCCTGAATATAAGCCTCACCTTTTTTTCCAAATTCCGACCATGAAAAGTTAAAGTGCGGCTTAAATTCGTGACCTTACAAAACGGGCTTTTACAATATTGCTGCTGAAACAGACATATGGTAAAACGGAACAGGTGTGAGTGCCTGCAGAATTTTAAGGGAGTGGCTTATATTCAGGTATTGTCTTTTTCCCCCCTTGAATTTTAAAGGTGCAGCTTATATTTAGGCCAATATGGTATGTAGAAAAGGTGGGTAGATAAGACAGAAGCCTCTTCACACTTTCAAGTTATGAAAGTTGATCACAAGGACGGTCCATGTGATTAAGTGAAAGCAGGAGTGCATTGCTGGCCCTGCTCCTAATTTTATGATTTGATTATTTAATTCCTTAATTAAATATATTTAAAACATACTAAAATATATCTAAGCGGTGTACAAAAAACTGAAGCAACAACAAGACAACTTAAACAAAATACTACAAAAATACACAGTTCTGGGGTCCAAAGAAACTCTAAGCTCACCTACAAAAGGTCTCACAATGAGAAGAGTTCCTGGAGATAGCAGACATCATCCTAGTCTCTCTAGACTTGCTTAAAATGGATGGTACTTCTTCAGATTGCCCACAACTGTGTCCCATTCAGCTGCACTCTCCATACTAAGTTGCAGGTAGATCAGGTTTGTTGAGTTTTCCAGGGAGTAAAAAGAATTCAAAGGGCCTCGCTCCACTCACAGCTCTTTTTTTCCACCCTCTGTCCTGTCCTCTTCCTCCAGCTGCTTTTACGTGACTTTCCAGGGCCTGTTCCTACACTCCCTATATTCAGCAAAGGAATCTGTCAAGGGAGAGTCTAGATGTGTAGACTTCTCTATGCTTAGGCTCCCATATGAGCTGGAACCCTGCATGATTGGGGTTAAAGCACAGCAGAGAGGTGTGTTCATATTGGCTTTCCCTGTGCAGATGTCCACAGGCAAAACATGGATATTGGGATGGGCTCAGGGAAGTCGCAGAACATTGAGACCAGGGCCAGCAGCCTTACGCTTAGGATCTAAGTAGACATGACAGCAGAAACCATGATGGAATCTCCCTTCTCTTTTAATTTCTAGCAGCTCTCTGTCTGTGTGTACATGCATGCAAGAGAGATTCAGATCAGGACTACAGCGCAGAGGGAGAACCATTTTGCCAAGTGCTGTTTTCCTGATGACAATTACCTCCACCCCCCCACCCCCAAAGCTGTTATTTTCCTTGTTAAGAGACACTTACATGCTGCGTGTTGCAGGGGACTGACTTGAGAACATTTCATAGCTTTAGAAGAGCTTGTCTTAATTCACCTTTTTTAAAAAACTCCTTAGCAATGGCAAGGTTTTTTTCTACACCTTTCTGCATCTCTCAGTTTCACAGTTCTTGCCAAGTCATAGGATCAATTTCCAACTTAACACCTATGCACACTTGAGCTTTAGTCGCGATGCACTCTGCTTTGCCATTTTCCTCTGTGAAAATCAGCAGAATGTTTTAAAACGTATTATAGCTGTGTATACAAGTTATGTGATTATCCATCAACCCAAGCTTACATTCACACAAACATGGGGGGTGGGGGCGGAATGCCGTTTCTGAGCTACTGGGGGGGTGGAATTGGCAAAAGCTGGGCTGCCATATGTCTGGGTTTTTTCGGACATTTGACTGATTTCCACCCTGACGCTGCCACTGTCTGCAGTATTCCGTATATGTCTGGGAAATTCTGGACGCATGGCAACCCTACACAAACAGAGATGGATTCCAAGTCGGCATTAACTAATTAATGTCATACTAATTAAAAGTATTATTAAATCTGCAAGTAATGAAGCTTGCAACTCCATTTATGACATGCTCAGAATCCGTAGGTCACAATTCATATAGTACATACTTTGGAGTGATTTCTCTGATGTCTCTGAAATATTTCTCCTTACTTAATTGAAGATACAAGTTTGTCTTGACTAGGAGTCCCCACCCCAAAGAAATTAGTATCGCTCAGGGGTCAGCAAATGTTTTCAGCAAGGGGCCGGTCCACTGTCCCTCAGACCTAGTGGGGAGCTGGACTATATTTTTGGAGGCAAATGAACGAATTCCTTTGCCCCACAAATAACCCAGAGATGCATTTTAAATAAAAGCACACATTCTACTCATGTAAAAACATGCTGATTCCCGGACCGTCAGCAGGCCGGATTTAGAAAGCGATTGGGCTGGATCCGGCCCCCGGGCCTTAGTTTGTCTACCCATGGTATAGCTTAGCCCCCAAGAAAGGAGTAACTGTAAGTTTCTTCCAGATCTATTGTGCATTAACTGATTTTCTGGATTCCATCTTCAGGATTCACTGAAGAGTGGGAATGTACTATTTTTCCTTACCCAAATGTTATGTTATAAGTATAGCAGAATATTGAGTACTGTTCATTTTGGGGAAATGCTTAGGCTGTGGGGTTGCTCAGAAGCTCGTTCTGCACCACTTTAGAGTTCTTTTCATGTTACCTGCTAACAGTTGCCCTGTGTGCTAGTTCTTAATAAGATGAGGTTTTCTTTTGTTCATTCTGAATTTTATACATTTTTACAACTGCTAATCGTGTTCTGTTAAGTTTTTATTCCAACATACAGACAGTGGAAATCATAGGTTCCAATAGGTGCAATTGAATGTGGCCTACTTCTTGTTAAATGGGACTTTGCATTTAAGCTTGTAAGTTACCATTTAAGCTTGTGTATAAAATAAACTTATGCAGAAGTAAACACCTAATGGCGTTTTCCTATTTTATGCCTAGTTTTGAGCATTGGCGAGGGTGGATTCTGGGAAGGCACCACTCGAGGTCATGTTGGATGGTTTCCTGCAGAATGTGTTGAGGAAGTGCAGTGTAAACCAAATGAAAGCAAACCAGGTAAGATGGTGATATTCAGTTGTAACCCATGTCAAATGATGTAAAATGCCTATTATTTTTCCATGTTCATTCCCCCCCCCTAATTAATTGACGATAAGAGTTTGTCTCATAGTGGCTGCTTAGCCCTCAGGGAAGGAGTAGCTATTTTTTAAAAGAAAGATACAGCTATAAATTTGGGTTGTGCTCCCCCACCCCACCCCACCCCGTACTAGTATGTGAAAACGAAGCTTTGGTTAAACATCTACAACAGAAGTAATAAAATGTGTGATTTTTTCCTGTGGTATAATACTCATATGTATCTTTTGTTGGGTATTTGATACATGCGCTATGTAAAGGGTTCTGGCCAAATTGATGTACCTTTCGTTCTATTGATTTAAATTGGAGAGAATTATATAACTTTATAATTGCATCATTTTGGCTGTATTGTGGAGAGTATAATGATGTTAGTTGGTGTAGTGAAAATGAGCCTTAAACTGAGTTTGACATATTTACTTGCCTACAAATGACAGGGAATTTGGAATGCATCCTTGAATTTATAGAATTTTGGATAAGGAGTAAATGTTTTAATATTGTTAAAATGTTCTTCGCTGCTGTTTGTTTTTGCTTTTAGGTTGTTGTTGTTGTTTAAAATATAATGCCCTTTGCCCTCCAAATATGTCACAGGTACTCCACAATTGGGATTGTGCTTACTCTACATTCATATTTCCCACATATCATAAATAATGGTATTTGGCTTTGACGCTTGTTCTAATGTTAAACAGAAGTAGTTGTTAGTGGATATAGGAATTAATATTTTTTTATTTTAGGAAACAAATTGAAACTTGGAATAATTCCTAAATGAGACATAATTATGAAAAATGCATCAGATGTGGATTAAAAGTAGCCTATGATTAAAGTTAATCACATGGCTGTTATTTGTTTTCTGCTAAGGAAGAAAATGCAAGGTCAGGTAATTGTTTTCAAGCAATCTGTCAGTATTACCTTGGACTAAATCTATTAACGAATCCTGGAAAATAAATTAGGAGGAACAGTGAAGGAACTAGTGATTAAATACCACCTTCTGGGGCTATTAAAAGGATGTCAGCTGAGAAGTGTGAAAAAACCTCCATAAATTATGAGAATTCACACTATGGTCTCTGCAGTGTATAAAAGCTTCTACGTTGTTTGAATGTACTCTGAGAGTTTCAGATAACATTACAGAATTCAGCATTTCTCTAGCACAATAGTTCATTATTTCACCTAGATCATTATTTAAATGGAGCCCAGACTCTTTCCTTTAGAAAAATAATAAAATATTTTCTAGCTAAATGTGTGTAACTATCAAGTCGAAAACATGGTGCAGGTCCTGATGTGACATAGCCCTCCAAGAGCTATGTGGATACAACACTGGTTTCCTAAGGTGTAGCCTTTCCCATCACTTCTTTTTGAACCTTAACTGAAATAGGACTTGGCTGAATGCCCAGATGCTCCCACAAACTGCTACTGGGATCCTCTAGAAAACTAGGTGTTGTAGAGAAGGGGTCCAATCTAGTCTTATTCTGTACATCTGTGTGAAGGGTTTTGGCTTTGGTATGAACGAATGTTCAGCCACATTGAATCTCCACACACAGGCTGAAGTGTGGTGCAGGCCAGACGTGGGCTTGTCACAGTAGTGAGAATTACAAATGGAACCTGCTGGGGCTATTGAAGTTCTTTTAAATTGCTACAAATGGTTCACGTCACCTGAGCACAAACCTCCAAATTGCCATTTAAGCAAAATTAACAACACTAAGGAATGTGAACTAGTACTGGCAATGATAGGAACAGTTGTAAAATGTTTTCTTTAGTCACCTCTATTGTTTTTGAGGGAAAGGTACAATATTGCTTTGGTTCAGTAAATTATCCCTCCTTCTGTCCTACAGAAATATTGTAGACTAACTTGTCATGCGCATACAGATGCATTCTGCGTACAACCATTGCTTCAGCAGTAAATACCTTCCTTTGGGAGCAAGTGATGCTGTGTCATACGTTTTAGAAATATTCTGTATAAACTGCTCCATAGTGTGAAATGCTTGAATAGGATGAAACTATCCATACTTACAGACTTGTGATAAGCACCAGCCAAATAACATCTGTATGGTGCATAAGTAGACGCACTAAGGACCTGCATAAAACTTCCTTTGTTGTGGCTATATACAGTCACTTAACTACATATATATTTCCATGTGGCCATAATTAATACTTATGATTCATGCAACACTGTGAGCTTTGAGAACACAGTTATCCTAGAGCCACAAATATGCTGCTTTGTTTAAGAGATTCAGCAACAAGCATGACAGATTTTCTTATACCTACCCATCTGTACTCTTCACATCTGTAGACAATTATTTAAGTATGATTTCAAAACTTCCATGTCAAAATCTTTACAGAAACTGACAACAGGGAAAAGAGATGGGGATATAGAGAAGTCAAAATCTTACCATACTTGTAGTGGTGTCTGATATGAGGATGCACCATGCTGCAGCCCTACTGAGACTGTGTACAGTATTACGAACTTGGAAGGGATCCTGAGGGTAATCTGGTCCAACCCCCTTCAATGCAAGAATCTAAACTAAAGCCTGGTATAGTGGTAGTGGTTCATCATCCAAGGTGGATTGGGCTACATAACTGATAATAATAATAATAATAATAATAATAATAATAATAATAATAATAATAATAATAATATATTATTTCTATCCCGTCCACCTGGCTGGGTTTCCCTAGCCACACTTTGGGCAGCTCAGGAGTTACAATTCTTAGTTATTATTTTTTTTAATAAATATTTATTAAGATTTTCGCATTATTACAAAATGAAAAAGAAAAAGAAAAAGTACAAAAATAAAAAGCTTTTAAAAACAATTCCAACTTTTTATCACTTATCTTTCATTTACCGTATTTTTCGGACTATTGGACGCACCGGTCCATAGGACGCACCTAGATTTGGGGGGGGAAATAAAGGCAAAAAAAAATTATTCCCCCCCCCGCCAGGCGCGGGGCTGGGGCGGGGAAGCCCGAGCTTCCCCCTCCCCAGAACGGGACCCAGAGCCATGCCGAAGCTGCACGCAGCTTTGGCATCGCTCTGGGAGCTTGCGGGGCTGGGGGAGGAGGAAGCCTTCCGCCAGCCTCCAAACCATGTCGGGAGACAGCGGGATGGCGCGCTGCGCCTCTCCCGCTGTCCCCCGAGTTTGCGGGGCTGGGCCAGCCTTCTAACCAAGTCGGGGGACAGCGGGAAGGGCGCGCTGCGCCTCTCCCGCTGTCCCCCGAGTTTGCGGGGCTGGCGACGGGGAGGAGCAGGCTTCTCCCCCCGCCAGCCTTCTAGACAAGTCGGGGGACAGCGGCAAAGGCGCGCTGCGCCTCTCCCGCTGTCCCCCGAGTTTGCGGGGCTGGCGACGGGGAGGAGCAGGCTTCTCCCCCCGCCAGCCTTCTAGCCAAGTCGGGGGACAGCGGGAAAGGCGCCCTGCGCCTCTCCCGCTGTCCCCCGAGTTTGCGGGGCTGGCGACGGGGAGGAGCAGGCTTCTCCCCCCGCCAGCCTTCTAGCCAAGTCGGGGGACAGCGGGAAAGGCGCCCTGCGCCTCTCCCGCTGTCCCCCGAGTTTGCGGGGCTGGCGACGGGGAGGAGCAGGCTTCTCCCCCCGCCAGCCTTCTAGCCAAGTCGGGGGACAGCGGGAAAGGCGCCCTGCGCCTCTCCCGCTGTCCCCCGAGTTTGCGGGGCTGGCGACGGGGAGGAGCAGGCTTCTCCCCCCGCCAGCCTTCTAGCCAAGTCGGGGGACAGCGGGAAGGGCGCGCTGCGCCTCTCCCGCTGTCCCCCGAGCTTGTGGGGCTGGCGGTGGGGCTCTCCTGAAGCCTGGAGGTTGTGGGGACAGCGGGAGAGGCGCAGCGCGCCTTTGCCGCTGTCCCCCGACTTGTCTAGAAGCAGGCTTGCTTCTCCCACCCCCAGCCTCCAGATCAGGTCGGGGAATAGCGGGATGGCGGAGCGCCGCCATCCCGCTATTTCCCGACCTGATCTGGAGGTTGTGGGGCTGGGGGGGGGGAGAAGCAGGCTTGCTTCTCCCACCCCCAGCCTCCAGATCAGGTCGGGGAATAGCGGGATGGCGGAGCGCCGCCATCCCGCTATTTCCCGACCTGATCTGGAGGTTGTGGGGCTGGGGGGGGGGAGAAGCAGGCTTGCTTCTCCCACCCCCAGCCTCCAGATCAGGTCGGGGAATAGCGGGATGGCGGAGCGCCGCCATCCCGCTATTTCCCGACCTGATCTGGAGGTTGTGGGGCTGGGGGGGGGGAGAAGCAGGCTTGCTTCTCCCACCCCCAGCCTCCAGATCAGGTCGGGGAATAGCGGGATGGCGGAGCGCCGCCATCCCGCTATTCCACGACCTGATCTGGAGGTTGTGGGGCTGGGGGGGGGAGAAGCAGGCTTGCTTCTCCCACCCCCAGCCTCCAGATCAGGTCGGGGAATAGCGGGATGGCGGAGCGCCGCCATCCCGCTATTCCACGACCTGATCTGGAGGTTGTGGGGCTGGGGGGGGGAGAAGCAGGCTTGCTTCTCCCACCCCCAGCCTCCAGATCAGGTCGGGGAATAGCGGGATGGCGGAGCGCCGCCATCCCGCTATTTCCCGACCTGATCTGGAGGTTGTGGGGCTGGGGGGGGGGAGAAGCAGGCTATTCCACGACCTGATCTGGAGGTTGTGGGGCTGGGGGGGGGAGAAGCAGGTTTGCTTCTCCCACCCCCAGCCTCCAGATCAGGTCGGGGAATAGCGGGATGGCGGAGCGCCGCCATCCCGCTATTTCCCGACCTGATCTGGAGGTTGTGGGGCTGGGGGGGGGAGAAGCTAGCAGGCTTGCTTCTCCAGCCCCCAGCCTCCAGTTCAGGTCGGGGAATAGCGGGGATGGCGGCGCTTCGCCATCCCCCTATCCCCCGAGCTTGTGGGGCTGGGGGGGAGGAGCAGGCTTGCTTCTCCCCCCGCCAGCCTCCAGATCAGGTCGGGG